CTCCTACTCAAAGTTTGAGCTCTGCTGAAGAAAATCACACAACTATCCCAAATGGGTTCACTACAAATTTATGTTTATCTGATCTCAACTGGGCTCTCATTGCTTCATGGCAACCCTTTTATTGTTTCCTATTTGAATATCACTCACCACAGCAACTATTCAAAACCTTCTTTTCTTAAGTCCCCTACATCAACAATTTCCCCTCGTTCCCAGTGGAAAACTTCACGTTACTGAAAAGTTTTAGATCATATACCATTATTTTCCTCTTCTCCCTTATTTGACATTGCAAAATCTATCTAAATCATATCCATTATCTCCTACTTTGCTTTAGTCTCTCATTTTGCCCCTTCTTATCTACTGGCTCCCCCTTGCTGCCGACAAACATCCCATGTATCCCATTCTTAAAAAAAACAAACAATAACAATGTTCCCTTGTATGTACAGACACAGTATGTTTGTTTTGCTGAACTGCCTTTTTCCCTTTCTTTTTCTTTTTCCAGTCATTAATTTTATTTTTTCCTCAGTTACATGTAAGCCAAAATTTTAAACATGTGTTCTTTAAAATTTTGAGTTCCAAATTCTCTCCCTTCCTCTCCCCCCAAATCCCTCCCTGGGGAGGCAAGTAATCTGATATAGACTTTACATGTGTAGTCATACAAAACATTTCTGTATTAGACATCTTGAAAAAGACAACACAGACCAAAATAATCAAGATTAATAAAGTTTTAAAAGTATGCTTCAATCTACGTTTAGACTCTGTTAGATCTTTCTCTGAAGGTAGATAGCATTTTTCATCATAGGTCCCGTAGAATTGCCTAGGTTCATTGTATTACTGAGGATAGCTAAGTCACTCACAATTGATCATTGTATACTATTACAATTACTGTGATGTTCTCCTGTTCTGCCCATTTCACTTTGCATCAGTTTATTTAAGTCTTCTCAGGTTTCAGTCACATTGTTCTCTTGCTTTTCCTGGTACCTGACTGCTTGTTCCTCAACATCTTTTGCTGAATTATCATCTTTCTCTTGCCACCAAAGCCTCTATCTTTGGTATATTTCTCTGTGTGCTCTCTCAGTGATCTCATTAGCTCCTACAGTTTCAAACATTTTCTCAACAAGGTTGACTCCTAAATGCATTATGTCCAGTCTTAATATTTTTCCTGAACTCCCATCCCACATGACCATTGAACATTTTTTCAATTGGCTAGCCCACTGATATCTCAAACTCAAAATATCCAAGAGATCTCAATATTCCCCCCTAAACTTATTCCCTTTTCCAAAATTTTATTTCTGTTGACCATCATTCCAGTTAACCAAGTTTGCAACCTTGGAGTCACTCTTCACTTTTCTGTCTATCTAACCATAAATATTCAATAAGTTCTAATGACTTGTAGGCTCTACCTTTACATCTGTCCCAATCTGTCTCCTTGCCACTCATAGAGCCAGCACCCTACAGTCAGGTTTTCATCACTCTTCACAAATCACCTCCAGTCTCTCCTCTCTTTAATCCATCCTCCACATATCTAATAAATTAATGTTCTATGAGGGAAATAATTGAAAATAGGGCCACATTATTTTATGGACAACACACCAGAAGAGGATACAAGAGAAATATGCTGGAAATTTGTGGAAGGAGATACTAGATCATCTCTTGAACTAAGCTGGTATTGAAGAATTGACTCAATACTCTGCATTCTGACTTAACCAAGACATTATGAAGGAAGGTAGCATCTCAAATAGAAGCACAGAGTCTAAGTATCTTCGTATTTATTAGAATCTTCTTCTTTGAGATAGAGCAAGACTGAACTTTTATAATCTGTAGAATGACAAAAAAATCAAGTGACAGTAGTAAAAAATTAGCTGAGAGGGATAACTATACAAGAGATTGCTAAGGACTTAGAAAGCTGAAAGAATCAATTAAGAGAAAAGAAGAATTAAGAAAAATTAAGAAAAATTAAATTAAATTTAGCAAGCCCAGAAAAGAAAAATTAAGAAAGAATCAGTTGGCGGCTAAATGGATTTTGGGGGGAATATTTTGAGTAAGGTAAAATTAATGGATAATTATAGCAAGTTGATCAGGTGCTTTGTAACTTTCTGCCTAGAGACAGAAGTTTTTTTCCCATGAGAAAGAAATTTCTCTTATCCATAGTTTCTTCAGCTCCTAGTCTACCCATAGGCCTTTATAGTTATATCAAACTCTCTAAAGGCACAGCAAAATAAGACAGGCCTAGATCACTGTTTCCACCCTGAGGATACATATAGTTTGGAGGCAGGAGATGAATGGATCATCATCCAGAAAAAGAGACTGAAAGTACTGGCAGGTACAAGACTAGCACCACTTAAGTCAAGGGAGGAGACAGCACTCAAGAACTGTCTTGTAAATGTACAATAGTGTCAAAAGCTCTTGAGAGGTCAAGTACAAGGGAAAAGAAAGGACAATATTCAGTAGGTGATATATTCTGCAGTGTTTCATCTAGCTGACTGAAGGACAGTGAGGACACAATGAAGAAACAATCTTGATTTGACTTCTTTAGCTCACTTCCTAGCTAATGATATCAGGTGAGAGATAATGTTAAAAGGCCTCAGGACTTCTCCATTTGTGTCACTGTTTGTTCTCTCCTTTTAGGTGAAAGAAGTTGGAGGCTATATGACCTTATGAGTTTCAAAATGGCAAGAGATTGAGTCTAAGAGTTTGAAAATCCAAAAGTTTAGTTCATGCTGGGTTTTGCAGTCAGCCTTCAGCACTTACTTGCAGGGATGCAACCTTTATATGTGGATTTGATGGAACTAATGTCATGCATGAACTGTGTTAAATCTGAGCCTGTTCTCCCTAGAGATTAACATGGCATAGGGGGGAAGTATTTCCCTAAGGGGTTGGGTAGAAATGTTTGTACTTCTGTTTTTTCTGTGTCTTCAAAGGTAATATCCCTTTGTAAAAGCTTAAGGAAAAAAAGATATCATAAAGGAATTCAAATGGCCATTAATACAGGTACAGCCAGATGATAGGAGGCAAATGACCATTAGACCATCCAGCACCCTTTTACCTTTGAGGACAAATTCCCTATCACTTAGGGGATTGACCAATAGGGGATCAGTCCTCTATCAGCTTGAGAACTGATTCCCCATAATTATGGTCTGTGAGTATGGATTCCCAAGTGCAGAGGACTGGGTAGATGAAGTCAAAGATAACCTTCTAGGAGCACAGCTGAACTTTTAAATCTACCTTTAGATTTTATTCAGTAATTATATCCTAATGTATGTAAGTAAGCAATCTTAGCATATCATTGGAAGTTGGGAAGGAGATTTGAATCTCAATAAGATGGGGATAAATTCCCCACCATCCTTCCTCCATTAGAATGAATGCAGGTTCTCTGGTATATATGAAGTATGGTCATCAGTGTTTTATTTATGAACCTAAGCCAAGCACTACAAATTATTATCAAGAATACATTCATACACTTAGAACCAAACTAATCTGGCTTGGAACATTCTTGGGGTTTAAGAATGGAGTCTGTCAGCCTACTGCTCAGCAACTGAAAGGGTACCCAAGACTAAAATGGTGAGGTTCTTTCTGGTTTGTGCAAAGGGAGGCCAGGCAACCTGGCCTTGGATGCCATCTATTGACTGATGCAGATATAGCACATCCAGTAGTTATTTCAACAAACATTCCTGCCATTACAAAGCAGATGCTCCTATGGATGGGAACACTACTTTTATATTTGTAATCTTTCTGTCCCCATGGTTTATAGCGTACAACAATGGGACTATTATTCTATTTCTGCCACCATTTATCGGCACCCAAATGTTCTTGCATGATAAGCTGTTTTATGTTTCCAGTCATATCCTGTGACTGCCTAGACCAAAATTCCTTGCCCTTGCTACTATTTCCCTGGGTGTTGTATCCCTTGATTGGAATGTAAGCTCCTTGAGGGCAGGTTTTAATCCCATTGCCTAGCACAATGTTTTGGCACTCAAAATATATGCTAAATGAACTTTCTCCACCATGTTTCCCTCTTTAGTCCCTGTATTTCCTCATAACTATATATATATATATATATATACATATATATATATAAATATATATATGCTTAATAGATAATGCTGCTCTATCTCCTTTTGTACATCCTGCTATTGTGAATAAGGCATAATAATATCCTTTCAGAGCCATATTCTAGTCATTGATACATCAAGTCTCAGTGGTACTTTCAAGGTCAAATTTGCCTTCCTGCATTTAGAATCTCTAATTCTTCTTTCCTGTTAACTATACTTTGGGCATTTATATATAGATATTTGATACTATGGATTTTATTGCTGTCTCTTTTCTTGAATTTTGTGTCCTATGAATTTGTGTCTTTAATTTTTTTCTTTCTACATTGTAGCTTCTCTCTATGGTATCTAGCCTGGTAGATACTCTCTGTCACCCCCACCCTTTTTCATTGTAACACCTCCCCTTGGCTACTCCTCCAAGTTGCACTCCCAATCAAGGATAGGTCTTCAGAGAGTAGCTACTATTTCAAGTGTCAAAACACTGGGAGACACACTGTATTACAGAGTGAAGGCCCAGCAAGCAAGCTGTACCCTGAGTTTGGCATAACAACATTTTGTGCTCAACCTCTAGATAATCCCCCTTCTGAAACCAATTAATGTCAACCGGACCAAATCGGCCTCTAACCTGTGGATGGCAGGAGCTGAACAGAGCAGGCTAGAGACAGGAGAGTCAGGAATTAAACAGAAGTTTAATCTCAAAGGAAAACAATTTGCATGTAGCAAGGCAGATTAGACACAATCGCAGGGGGCCCCCCCACTAGGGGCAGGGATTATGAGGGTTATAGGGATAATCTTGTATGACTATGCTCCTAACACTAGCTCATAAGCCTCTACTAGTGTGCTTTCCATTAATAATCAACCAGTAGCCAATTAGCTCTTAGCAAAGACATTTATTCAGATAGCATGCAAATATTTCTCCTATAAACCAAAGGTACACTCTTCCACAAATACAGAGTCCAAGGGAAGAGTGGACTGAAATTTAGAGTACAATGGCAGTGAGGCACACCTGCAGGATTCACATGTAACAAAGATAACTCACATATCCTGGTGCTGCAAAGCTTGGAAAGCCTTTCTCTCTTCAGAGTATTCATGATGTATTCCCAGGGTCAGTTTCTCTTCTCAACATGACTCTATATTGCCAAATGTCTTGCTCCTTGAAGCTTGGGTGACCATCTCTCTATGTTTCTGTCTGAAATGTATTTCTCTGTTCTCTGGCAGGTGCAGAATTGAATTGTTCCCTTCTTGACTTAGTCAGAGAGGCCTTGTTACTGTCTAAAGGAACCAGGGTAGAAAGTAATCTTTTACAGTTAAAACAACTCATTTACACCTTGTAAACATGTAAATGTATACATTCTGGGCCTTGTGTGACTAAACTGAAGTAAGGAGGCACTATGTTCCTCTTCCCTTATATTAGTTTTAAACTCTTTTGATTAGATGTGCAAGAATCCAGGCAAATATATCCTTACTAACACTTCTTATGTGCCCTTCATTACTAGATAAAATCCAACCATTTTTATATTTTAAGCCTTGCCTCATTGTCATACAGCTCCCCACCTGTGCCTGCGTACCCTTTCATATTCCATCTCACTTACTCTTTGCCACATTATCACAAATTAATCAAGCATTTAAGTGTCATATATATGTACACACATATACCTGTGTATGTATACATAAACACACATATACACATATAATCTGGTATGTGTGCTAGGTTCTGGAGACAGAAAAAAACAACAACTCTGCCCTTAAGTAGCTTACATTCTATCAGGGCATATATTATGCATAAGCAAACAAAAGGTAATGGAGAGGGAGCACTAGAAGCTCAAAGGGGGGGAGGGGGGAAAAGCATTTATTGTTAATTACATAGCTGGCACTTTGCTATTATCCTCATTTTACAGATGAAGAAAGTGAGGCAGATAGTGGTTAAGTGACTTACCTAGGGTCATACAACTAGTAGGGTTTGAGGCTGGATTCCCAACTCCAGGTCCATTGGTTTATAGAGTGTTATCACCTAGCTGCCACTAAGAAAAATTTCACATAGAAGGTGGCTTCTGAGCTGTGCTTTGAAGGAAGTTAGGTATTTTAAGAGGTGCAGCCCATACAAAAAGACTTCTGGTGTTCTCATCCCAACTCTCACTCTCACTAGTGAGCTGGGTTCCCAAGAAGGTAGCTAACATTTATTCCTTCAGAGTTCCAGGACTACTGTAAATGGAAATGAAGTTCTTTTAAAATGTTATCAGCTTAAACCCTCATTCTGGGTATTTCTCCCCATATCAATTACCAGTTACAATGAACATCTTCCCTATATCACTGATTGACCCCGTTATTAGCATCCTAGTATCATTTAACCAGGTAGCATCAATTAATTTTTTACAAAATAATTATTTCCTGAGAAGATAACATAAGAACAGAATTTATTAAACATTTCCCCCAAACACCAGAGGAACCCTTCTTCTAACACTAGGGAGGCATACTCCTCCTTCTATCACCTCAGTTCTTGGGAGAGAATGCATTCACCTCCACTAAATTTATTTCTAAATTTGTCATAGTCACTGTTCTAATCACTTCCTTGATGTAGGACAGGGCAACTCTGAGTGGATCCACTGCTGGGGCTGAGTCCAGCAGGTTGCTCCTCAGGGCAGTACCTGAGTACATTTCACCTGGCTCAGCTGCTGGTAAACTCTGATATGGCTTCCAGTTTCGGGATCTCTGGCGACTTGCTCAAAAGGTTGTAGCCATCTCTGATATTTTTCACCTAAGAGTAGGAAAAAATAGACGCAACAAAGACAGATGTTCTCCTGGCTTCTTGCAAGCTCCAGATGAAGCTGGAGGTTAGCAATCTCCAGCACCTGGAGCTGCCATGAAGCCAGGACTCCCAAGGCAATTCATCTTCCGTGCTTATCGCCAGGGAAAGAAAAAGATCAATTAGGCCAGATAGTACCTTTTGTATAAATACCAGGTTCTGGTTCAGCATCAGATCAAAAGGCTCCTCCTCACCATACAGCAAATGGGTAGAAAGAAGTCAGAATATCTACCCATGATTTGGAGAGGAGGGGCTTCCCTTACAGATGCCCAAAGGCTGGCTCACCAAGTATCCACTCAGGTGATTACATCAGACAGAGCATGCTCTTGACAACCAGGCCCTCAATGCCCAGTCTTCCGCTTAATCCCTTACCAAGGCATAGATGAGAGTGAATTCCAGGCATGGGAAAAATGTTGTTTGAAGCCACTGAGGCAGGAGCTAGAACGTTGTGAAGAATATCATGTATGTCCATTTGGCAGGACGTGAAAGGGAGTAACATGTAGTAAATTTGGATATGTAGGCTACAACCAGACTTGAAGGGCTTTTAATACCAAACTTTTTTGTATATGATAGTAAAATTTGTATATTACACTAGAGGTAATAGGGAGTCATTACAGCCTTTTGATTAGAAGAATGATATGGTCAGACTCCTGTACCACTCTGTCAGCTATGTGTAGGATGGACTGGAAAGGGGAGAGATATGAGGCAGGGAGACAAATCAGCAACTTATCTCAGTAGTCCAGGTAACAGATAATGAGAGACAAGTGGTTGCAGTGTGAATAAAAATAAGAGGATTAATGGGAGAGATGTTGTAGGGGTAAAAATCAAGACTTGTCAAGTGATTGGGGGTTAGGGAGAGTAAGGAGTGGAGGCTGACAAGGTGACTTCAACACTCCAATCCCCTAATCTTAGTTCATTTTACTCCTTGGTCATTATCATATATCTTCTGATCTTTCTAAGCTCCATTTTCTGAGTTCCACCATCTCTCTCAAATTCAGGTTATCACACCTCACCTCAGCTTAATTATCACCATACAAAGACAGCAGCGAATAGTCATTAAAGACAGTACAGCTTCTAACCAACACTGGCTACCTGAACCCCGGCCACAGTCATACTTGTTTCAGTGTGGCTGCTGAGCAATTCCCTAAGACTTCATGTTGCAAAGTATTGTTGTTTTATTAGATATATAGTATCTGCATTAGTAGAGGCTATTTGCTCAATTACACATGATTTTTAAAAAATTCTGTTCCTGAGACGGAGCCCCCAATTTTCCAGTCATCACTCTCCTAATTATCACAATGCTCCCACCATTATAAGCGCCCCCCACATCCCAAATCCCTCAAGGTCATATTCTCTCACTGCTTTATTCACACAGCTCTAGAGCTGTGACTGACGGCCTTTCCAATATCAAAGAGTTACATTTCACCCAATAATAGTTGTGCTTTTAAGGTTTATAAGGCACTTTATCTCATAACTGTGAGGCCGCAGCAGCGTCAGCATTCCTTCAATCTCGGGTCCCGAGACTATCCCTAATTTATCCCGTACACATCTGCTTGCACATAGTTATTTGCATTAGGCAGTGAGCTCCCGAGAGCTGGAACTGTGGGGAGGGGTACTGGCTTTCTTTGTATCCCCAGCGCTTAGCACGCTGCGTGGCACAACACTAGGCGCTTAATAAATGCTCTTTCGCGGACCGATCGATAGCGGGCGCTCGTGGCGTCCTCTACGACTTGCAGAGCGCTTCACGCCCCTTGCACTTCCCATCCAGCCCAATTCGTCTCCACCGCAGCATCCTTTCCACCGCCCGGCCAGGGCGGTACTAGGCTCCTACGCCACACCGACCGCCGCCGCCCATTCCCCGCACCGCCCCCAACTACACCTTTCCAATCAAGACACCAGATACCTTTCTTCCCCTAAAAACTTTCTACCACTCCGTCCCAACTCTTCCTGTGGTTCCCTTTCTTTCTGCTCCCCCTTCACGCCCCGCCACTTCCCTCAAAACTGCGCCTGCGATGATTCTTGTGGCAGTTGGTGTCGGTGACGTCACGGAAAAATTCTGCTCAGTACTGGTAAACAAGTGGCCGCGTGAGGAGCCCTGCACGTGTCTTCTCCAGCTCCTCCCAAAGATGACCAATGAGGATCATCTAGGGGAGGGATCTTCTCACGCGGTACGGGACGAGGCAAGCCAAAGGAATTTTCATTTACCAATGGCCATTGAGAAAGTAAAAACTACGCACTTTCCGGTCGGGAAACTAGCAATCAACGCGAGGGGGTGGGACCCGAGAGCACGTGGAGTATATGCAGCTTGGCTTCTTTGGGACCAACGAGGAGGCGGCGGGGGCTGACGGGATCCAATGGGAGTGGTGCGTGGAAAGGAAGGGGGGGCGGGGCAGCGGCACGAGGATTGGGGCATGGGTCGGCACGCCCAGGCCAATAAGCGCGTCAAGGGCGTGGCGTCCCAGCCGATGGGCGGTGCTGTCCCGCGCCGGCCCTGTAGGGGGCTGGCCTCGGTGGAACTGATCGGGATCCTTGTAGGCAAGGCGTGCTAGGGGTGCTTGAGCCCAGACCCTTGATCCTCGGAGCCCCGGGATCGATTGAAGGCGGGGGAGCGGTGAGTGGGGCACGGGCCAGCGTGTGCACAGAGGGAAGTAGGTTACCCCTGTAGGGAACGCGTCCTTTATTACAGTCTCTGAGGCTTTCTTCCAGGCCACCTAGGAGAGGGGGAAACTGAGGCACAAAGTAGTTGAGTGACCTATGCCGACACTCCCAGGGTCGGGACTTGCAGGCCCTTTCCAAAGGGCGACCCTCTTTCCGTGGGAAGAGGTGATAACCTCAGGTGTGATAACATTGGGGAAAGGTGTGTGTGTGTTGGGGGGGTGTTGATCTATATCTGGGGTGAGCTTTCCCATGGGGTGGGGGCTGTGACAGGTAGTGTGATGATGTGGGGCCCTGTCCTGGTGGGGGAGGTGGGAGGAGGCTCTACAGAACAAGACACCACGGCCCCCACCGTCATGAAGCTTACAGGCCAGTGGGGGAAGATGAAATAGGTGAGCAGGTAATTAATTATATAATACGGGGCTAAATATGATGAGTGCATGAGAGGTAAGAAAAAAGTTCGGGGACAGGAAAAATTATTCTCGTCAGGTTCGGAGAAACTTCAAGGAGTAGGTGAAGTTTGAGGGTAGGATTGTTTACTAGCAACACAATTCTTCCTCCTCTGCCCCATAATAATTATTATTATTATGTGGGATTTGGTGATTCAGATGTATGGTGGTCCTTTAGAGGAGTGGCTTAAGTACTTGTCTTTTGGTAGAGGTGAATGACTTGGAGCGGGCTTCAAACTAGACAAAAGACTAAGGTAGAGATTTGGGGAATAAAAGGGTGTCTTCTACCATCTTAGCACTTTGGCCAGTTCCTTCAGCATCAAGCTGGAGTTTGTGATAATCATAATAGTTGATTTATGTAGCCTTTGAGATTTACAGATGTAAATTATCTCATTTGGAAAAATGAGATGCTTGTAAAGCACGTTGCAAACTTTGCAAATCAAGGTATAAACACTAGCTATTATTATTATCCTCATAACAGCCCTTTGGGATAGGTGCTATAGAAGGTGGTATTCTCATTTTATAGATGAGGAAACTGAGGTTCAGAGACATTATGACTTTCCTATATGACCATACACAACTAGTAAGCCTTGGGGATAGAATTCAAACCAAGGTCTCTACTGACTCCCAAGTCTAATACTCTTTCCAGGAGATTTCTTTTGAGTGTGTGTGTGTGTGTGTGTGTGTGTGTGTGTGTGTACACAATAGGTATATGTATGTATCATAGGAGGTAACCATTTATACACACCTCCCATGCAGTGGAGCAAATAATACTGAAACATGGAAAAGCATGCTATTAAACTGTTAGATTTGGAACATTTGGAAATGAACTCATGGGATGCGTGAATCCAATATTGATGGGTTCTAATATCCAAGCTTGTAGGGACTTGAATAAAATGGAGTTTTTAAGTGGCTATCAGTCTTAGGTTTGGATCTGATTGGGGTGATCTCAGGATCTTTGAGACAAAGTGGGGAAAATGGAGATATATGAGAGACATGATTAGAGAACAAAAGGGAAATACTTTTTCAGGTTGAATAACTTTTTTACCCCAATTCCTTAATTATGGGATTAGAAGGAGAATTTGTCAGGTGAAATGTCGTTGGTATTTAGGGGAAAAGGTAATAATAGAATGAATAGAATATTAGACCTAGAAGGAGAATGAAAACTATCTTAGGGCCCCCCATTTTACAGACCAGAAAACTGAGGCCCATGGAAAGTAAGTCACTTGACCCTGGCCACATAGCTAATTTTTGGCAGAACTTTGGCTAGAAGCCAGGTCTTGACTCCTGGTCCAGTCAGCTACTTTGCTTTGGGATGGGGGGTGATGATATCAAGATCTCAGGGCCTGTTTGAGCACCCAGTTGAGGGGTCTATACTCATATCAATGTATATAGAAAATTACAATAATAGTGCTGGGTTCCAAATAAAGGAGGATAGTGGTTATAAATGTGGAGAAGAGATTGAACAGTTTAGCTTCTGAGTAGAGTGGAGTCTGGTAGAAGGGAGCAGACAATTTCTTGGGTCCTTCAGGGTATGGTAAGGGAGAGCTGGATGCCAAAGGGCCAGATTCCTGAGTCTGGGAAAGGATGTATCATACAGTAGCATACTGTACTGTCCCCAGGCTGGGAGGGACTGGACACTTGGGTTTCAGGAACTAGGCCAAAAATTAGGCAGATGACCAAGAATCCTAGGTATGTACCAGAGATACAGATTAGAGAGGTGAGTGACATCTTCCATGGGCACTAGAGCTGAGGACTTTTGTCAAAGAGTGTTAGATATGGAACAGAACCAAAGGCAGAGTAAGGAACTCCTTTTTGGCCTTACACTTGGGAGGGAAATTCTCATTGTTCCTTCTTATATATACAAATATGATAAAGGAGCAGAAGTGACGGACTTAGATCAAGGCAGTATCTAAGACCCAAATGTCCTAAGTCTTTCCTGCAAACCCTTGGCTTCTCTTTCAGGAAACCCCTTTAACGTAGCCCCATTCCCAACTACTTATCTTCTTCCAGGTACTTAGTATCAGTTCCAACCTAATGCTCCTACTGCCAAATCTCTTCTCCATCAGGGCTCTACTGTCTTCCAGCTAGAATATTATATGATCCTTTGATCCTTCTCCTAGGTCTCTCCAGTTACTTTGTCTGCCCTTTGCTTTGGTTTTCTTATCTTGTACCTATACCTCTGTCCCATAACCTTTGGTTGCCACTGTAACTGGAGGGGGTGGCATTTGGAATGCAAGGAAGAAAAGCCTTGTTAGCTTGTAGGACCCAGCTTTCCACACCCTGGCTTTTTATGACCACATGAGCAAATTTGTGGTATAATTTAGAGGCAGTGATGATAGAACTTGGAGGTCTGGAGCTAGTATGGTTCATTGTGGGAAGGATTGACAGCTGGGGCCTGTAGCTGGCCACCCATTTCCCCCAATTCTCTCCGTCCAGGAACACTTGACTTTGGGACAGGAAGGGGGTAGGGTAGGGATAGGGAGAGGGTAGGGAGGGGGTGAAGAGTGAGCCGGGACAGGACGGTTGCATGTCCTAGGCTGACTGCCAAGAGAACAAGATGTTCTCACTGCACTGGCCACCGCCCTCCTACTGGCTGCCTCCCAAACCACTGCCTCTCCAGGCTTCCAGGCTCTCTGCCCCACATTCTCCAAGCGACTTTGCCCCGCCTGCAGCCTGCCCCCTTCCTCTGCTTTGACGTCACTCCTTTACCTGCCCCTTTTCCTTCCATTGACGGCAGCAGGGCTCTGTTACTGTGGGAACAATGACACTGAATAGAAGTAAACTGGGCAGCAGGGAGGGAGTGTGGAGGAGGATTAGGAGAGAAGTGAAGGGGCCGGGAATAAGCATTTATATAGTGCCTACTGTGTGCCAGGCACTGTGCTAATTTTACAAATATGATCTCATTTGATAACAATTGGGTCATTGAGGAGGCTATAATGTGGGTTGGGGGGGAGGGAGGGAAGGGGAATTCAGTCTGGAAGGTGGTAGGATTCCTAAAACCAAGGTTCCTGAAAAGAGCCAAGAATAGGAGTGGAGAGGTAGAGACTCTGATTGGGATAGAAATACCTGGGTCCCAGGAGAGAAGTTGGTCAAGAGGAAACAGTAGTGGGGAGTGTGTGTTGGGGTACAGGGAATTTCTTTAAGGGGAGACCAGACCTCTAGGATCCTGAGTTCTCTTTGTTCCCTTCTGACTCACAGGGTTACTTGATAACTTCTGAGCTTCAGTTTTTTTCTTAAGAGATCTCAAGACTCCTGTATCCCTCCCTCTCACCTCCCATTATAAAAAGGAGACCATTGTTAAGGAAAGCTCAGTACATGTGACAGGGAGGGACTGATGCATCCCATGCCTAGTTATGTCAGCAGTTCTGGGGGTTTCTCCACATATGGCTGTGTTTCCGGGGGTTGGGGGGGCACTTTCAATACTTAAAAGTAGATTTTCTAGCTCTTGTACTATACTTTCCTCTCCATCTCTTAACCTCCATTTCTCACAACCTTCCAAGCCCTGAATTCATTCCTAGTACCCAGACATTCTTAAAAATATATATCTTCTATTTCTAGTGTCCAGACACCTGATCACTCCTTTTCTTGGGTCTTTAGTCTCCTCTTTTTATAGCTTCAGGCACCCAGATGTGTGTTGTCATTGGCTTTTCCCCTTCTTTTTTAAAAATTAAATTTTATTGATATCTTTTTGTTTTCAATGTGCTTTGTTTCCCTTCCCCCACCTCCCAGAGCCATTCCATATATTTTTAAAAAGAGGAAGAAGAGAAAAAACAAATCAG